CTCGCCGAACCACGGCGCCGGTGCAGCCGGCGGAGCTGGTGGACGAGGCCCGGCCGAAGTCTGGCCGGAGGAGCGGGGACGCCCGTCGTGCCCGCGTTTCTTCTTGCGGGTGTTGCCGGGTGGAGACGCGGCCGCCGGAGGGGCCGCGGGCGCGGGGACGGGGTTGGGCGCGGCCGGAGCGCGCGTGGTGCCGACGGCCAGGGCGTCTGGGCGCGCTGCAGCGAGGCGTGCCGCATGCGCCGTTCCTCGAGGCGTAGGTAGTTGACGGCGCGCGCGAACGTTGGCTCCGTCAGCAGGTTGAGGTTGGAGGCGGCGTTGGCGTAGTCGGGACCCAGCCCACGAATGAGGTTCGTGAGCATGGTGGCGTCGGAGACGGCCGCGCCCACGTCGCGCAGCTCGTCGGCGAGGACCTTGAGGCGCAAGCAGTAGTCGAACAGCCCCATCCCACCCTGCGTCAGGCTATAGAACTCGGTGGTTAACAGTACCTGGCGCTGGAGACGATTGTCGAGGAAGAGCTGGCAGATGGAGGTCCAGGCGCCCAGCGCGGTGTCGTTGTCGCGGATGATGTGCGAGAGAATCTCGCGAGACACCGTGCGATAGAGCCACTTGACGATGGTGGCATCCACAGCTAGCCAGTGGACATCATGCTGCATGGCCATGGCATCCACCGATCCGTCGACGTGGTCGCGGATGCCGAACTCGCGGAACGTCAGAGAGAAATACGTACGCTAGGTGGAGAAGGAGGGAGTGTGTAGGTCGAGGGTGATGGGGATGTGGTCATGAATTGGGACATGACGGAGGGCTGCGGCGGTGGTGGCTCAAGGACGGCAAACGGGTTGAGGTCGCCGGAAGCAAAGGACGCCGGGGAAGCCATGAGCAGGGAGAATGAGCGGAAGCGGGGACGATCAGTACTGAACGTCTGATACCATGTAAGGAACGAGAGAGAGAGGGTTTGCGCTGCACACTTTGTTCATTGACATTGCCACAATTTATACAAGTACAGTGAGAGGGATCAGCTAACAGAATGGCTAACAACTTGAGCTATACGAGGAGTAGTGGGTTAGTGGATAAGCTGATCCGTTGGATGCGCTAACAGAACGGCTGCCACGACAGAGATAATGCATGCCGTGACAACGGTCAGAGGACTGTTTCAACACCAATAGCCCAAAATCCAAGTTGGAGAGCCACTGAATCCAGCAGATCGGGCCATTTTTCGGCGGTTTGTGACCCGATCAGGCAATGGCCTAGAGGAATTTGTCCAGTGAGGCATGTCGTGGAGGGGTTATGGTGGCTGGCGACCATCGGAGCGAGCTCTAGTGGCGTGCGATGGAGGGGTTGGAGGGGTTCACTGCTAGAGAAAATCCTAGTAGTAGCGCGGGTTTTGAGGCTAGCAGCAGCGCGGAAAGCGCGCTACTAGTAAGGCGCTACAGCTAACTCTTAGTAGTAGCGCGGTTTGTACCTGCGCTACTACTATTGACTATATCAGCAACGCTTTTCTGGAACGCGCTGCTATTAGTTAGCTGTAGCGGTTTCCTAGCCCCTCGCTTGCTATATCTTTCATCATTTTCCCCAGCTTTCTACCCCATTTCGGTCCAGATACTAGGTACTACTAGATATCAATTTCATAAAACATTATAGGTACTAGGTAGTACTTCTTCCGTTCCAAATTACTCGTCAGGTCCAAACCACGACGAGTAATTTGGAACGAAGGGAAAACTAGATAACAATTTCATATATAGTCAACATGCATCCTCAAGCAGTGCTTGGTGATATCGACCATGATCATCAAATGTAGTTCTAGATGATATCGACGACGATCATCATATGTAGTTCTAGATGATATCGACGATGATCATCATATGTAGTTCTAGATGATATCAAAGACGATCATCATCCTCAAGCCTGGGCGGTTGGTGTTCCTGATAGTAATTAGGATGGCCTGTCCAACACGAAGATTCTTGCCATCGAGGAATCTCTTTCACCCAACCGAGTTTAAGTGTGTGTGACCGTCCGTGTCCATGCGGTAATTACAGATTGTGACAGAGCCCCTTGCGGTAAGGCGTAGTCCAGCTGAGCCTTCTTCATCAGGCTCGTTACCATAACTCACAGATAGACTCTTTGCCAATTTCTGAAAAAGAAAAAACATATCAATTAATAAATAGCCTCACACATACTCTTGCAAATAATATATATGGATTATCTACACTATTAATAGTTCCTTAAATTCTACACTAATAAGCATGTGATCAAACTCTACACTAAAGCATATCATCGACTAGATTCCACACAACATATCATTAGACCCTACACTAAGCATATAATCAGATAATTTGCATTTGTAAGTATAACATACCATATCATGTCGATCGACCATGGTACTTGTCAGGCGGGTCACGAATGGCACCCCAACAAAGTGAGCACGTGGCGGAATTATGTCCCATAGGTTGCACACCTCCTCCTCGCTCAGCCTCATTTTTTGAGCTACGATGGCTTCATGAAGTGGGTCCTCATCATCTTCATCGAGTGGGTCCTCATTATCTTCATCATCTTCATCATCTTCGCCATCTTCATCATTTTCCACCAGGTTGATATAAATGATAGCCAGCTTGGGTCTTTCTGCTCTAAAGGAGAAGCTGATCAACTCACCACCAGTAAGACGCATGCGGGCGAGGAAACGGGCCCATCCATCTCCTCCAATTTGCGAAATATTGCGTCCTTTCTCGACCTCCATAGTGTACGGTCCCCCAGGAGCGTCAAATGTCACAATGTCTCCTGTCAGCTTGTTGAATTTCAACCACACATTGCATGGGACGATCTGTGTAAAAAAGAAAAATGACACAATGCAGTAATGCCAACACTAAAAATAAAATAGTTGTTACATTTCATATAATTTCTTATCACCACATGACGAAAACTCGGCTGGAAGTAGATGCCGAACAGCTTGCCAGTTGCAAGGCTGCTGGCGCACCTTGAGTTGCACAATTGACATGGTGGTGGTGGTGGTGGCGCCATTTTCCTAAAGCAATACGAGCAAAGGATTAACGATCCACTTCACACAAAATAAAAACAGTAGCATGTGATTTTTTGGTTCTTCTTCACTTATATTTTCACAGCTAGGTGGTACCAAATCTTCAGAGCTATCAACTAGCATACTAAATCAACTAAATTAAAATGTTCTATATATCAACTAAATCAACTAGCCTATTAAATCAACTTGTCTACTAAATCAAATAAATCAAGATGTTCTATAAATCAACTAAATCAACTAGCCTACTAGATCAACTTGCCTACTAAATCAACAAAATCAAAATGTTCTAAATCAACTAGCCTACTAAATCAACTAAATCATATGAACTAAATCAAAATGTTGCATATGACCTAGCCTACTAAATAAAATGTAGTAGGGAGGAGGGGTTGTGGATGGAGGAGGGAGGAGGGAGAAGGAGGGGCGGCTGGAGGAGGGAGGAGAGAGTAGGACGGAGTAGGAAGGGCGGAGCGAGGAGGGGCCGGCTGGCAGCGAGTCGAGGGAGGACGGAGGAGGAGGGCGGTACCGAGTCCAGTGAGCAGGAGGAGGTGACCGCGG